CCCCCCCCCCCCACCCCCAATGTACTCTACTGTTAAAGTTCGCATGTGCATGTTGTCCAAAGTTCTCATTCATATTATATATATATATACCAAATAATAACTAATAGGTCTATGGCAATACGGCTTTCATTTATACAAAACACTTCACAAGTGGCTCTCATTCATGTAGGTAAAATACATACACGTTTCCGACTATACCGCTTCTATTTATACATTATGATTTACAAGTAGTTTTCATTCATGTAGGTAAAATACATATAAACGTTTCCGACATCGGTTGCTTTTCTTGTTGATCACGCATGAACGCACCAGGTCAGTGCGCATTATTATACACAAATAGACATTGTGTGTTTCCCGCATTGTGTGAATCCGTCGGGTGGCACAGGTATGCCGTTACACTTACACTTTAACTCACAGATGACATAGCACGATTTACAGAATGTTTAAACTAACGTCCTCACATGTTGTCACGTCTGTTTTATTTTAGAAAGAGTTTTACGGCACTGCACTGAGAAAACAATTACGTCATATGGATGCTGAAGATAGGGGTGTTACTTGTTTGAGAATAGAGATGCACATGGACACAAAAGCGGCCATTTCGGGCATACATCTAGATCTAGATTTAGAAAAAAAATAAGACAAATATATTTTTTAAAAATAATTTCACAAAGCAGTAGGACCTACCAGTGGCACCCTCCAAACACCCACTATATATCGTTTGTATCTGCTAATCAGAGCAAAGCACAGAACTGGCTGGACAGAAACAACACAACGTAGAACAAAAGAAATCAGGATATCTTTCATTCTTTTTAGACGTTTTAGTCACATTTACCGGATTCGGGTACATTATTGTGTAAGGGTCAGGGTTTAGAGTTATACAGCTGTAACCCAACCCTTATTACCTGAATCCGGAAAAAGTGAATAAAACGTTCTAAACTGGAAGATTGCCCCCAAAACAATTCACTCTACCTGCGCTCACAAGGAAAGACCACACAAGTGACGAACGATCTCCTATTATAGTACTATTACCCTCGATCGCCGTATCCACTAGCAAACCACCGGAGTCCACCAACACGCGAACGGGCTACTCAAGAAAGAGCCAAGGATTAGAACCGCATCGCATCACAGCACGGCCTCGGTGTCCGCGGGTTTGTGGAGACGGGTTGTTGTTAAAGGCCTACTGGACGAGGGAGGGAGGGGTAGAGGGTCTGGAGGCTGGTCACACGGTGTGAGGTGACGGTCAATTGGGGGAAGGGGGAGGGGTGCTCGCGATAAACGGGAGTGGGGAAGGAGGAAAGAGATGGGGGGAGGAGGAGGGGGAGACTGAGTTGTAAACATCACAATGAGACAACCGAGGTAACATGGGCCCCTGTAGCGAGGGGATGGGCAGTGGACGGTTATAGAGTATAACTGTGGCGAGTGAGGCGAGTCCCTACAGACTCCAGTCTCTCTCTTCTTTACCTCCCACGTCTCCCCCCCTCCCTATCAGTCTTTCCTCTTTCTCTCTCTCTCTCTCTCTCTCTCTCTGTCTCTCTCTGTGTCTCTCTCTCCTTTCGTCTATTCTCCCACCCTCCTCTCTCTGTGTGTCTCTCTCTGTGCCTCTCTCTCCTTTCGTCTATTCTCCCACCCTCCTCTCTC